CCTCACAAAACTAAAATCAAAACAAACAAAAAGCCAATAATAATAAAAAATGCCAAGATAATGTCCCTAAACCCAATAAAACAAAACAAACAAAAAAAGCAAACAACAGGGACTTCATTGTCTGATGGCCAACAACTACTCCTAGGTAAGGGGCCTGGCGTGAAGTATGGTTGCTATACCTGGTGATACTCCATTGGTGAAAGGTGATTTTCCCTTTGCCACTAGGTATCAGTTGCAGTGAGCTTCCTGGTGAAGGGTGGGACCCTGTGTCCACTCCTCCACCTCAGTGCTGGGACCCTGTCTGGCTTGAACCTGTTCGGGTTTTGTGCATGATCCCATTTTGGTTGTAGTAGCATGTAGCTTTTTTTTTTTAAAAGCTTTTATTTTGATTATGTTCAAATAGTCAAAAAAAATCTATAAGAACTCATCCTTAAAGTAATGTTTCTGGCTGAGATTGAAATAATCAATGTGCTTTAGTATGGTTTAGTAGTCTCTTGTTACTATTAATATGTCAGTTTATTGTCAGCGCATGCAAAGGCATGTGAAACTTAGTTAAGAATTTCAAAGATATATGGTAAAATATGAGAGAATAAATTGTGTGTGTGTGTGTGTGTGTGTGTGTGGTGTTTCTATGTGAGTGTGGGTGTGAACACACCATGATGCATGTGTGGAGGGCCGAGGACAACCTCAGGAGTTGCTTCTTACACTCCACCTTGTTTGAGACAAGGTCTCTTGTTTGCTGCTGTACAAGCCAGGCTGGGTGGCCTGCAAACTTTCAGGGCTGTCTCTGCCTCCCATCTTGCCATACAGTTGCTTGTGTTGTAGACTTTTGATACTTTGTGCGTGGGTGCTGAACATCACAACCCAAGTCTTCACAGGACACATGCATTACCCAACAGAACCAAATCCCCAGCTCCACGTCAGGCCCATTGAATACAGTTCAGTAATAAAAATGAGCAGGATTAGACTCTGTCTGAATCAGCTTCCTGGATGAAGTCAAGGCATTGGAGAGAAGCTGGCGCTGCAGTCGACAGCAGCCCCACAAAGGATGCAAAGGACCACTGCTGTCTTCCTCTACACAGAAGCTCTGTGGAAGTTAAGTGGCGCATTCCTCAAATGTTCTGTTCTCTATACTTCAAAGAAGAAGTGAATCAGGGCTGGTTGCATCACTGAAGCAAGCAACTTCATCACACCCGATTTTCTCACCTGCAAGTGCAACCACATTTATGTCAGGAGTTTGTTCGCTGGAAAAGCTGCTTTGCAGGTAATTAATTGCCATAGGAACGTGTGAAGGGCCCAGTTTGGAGACGGGGCTAGGAACTGAGAGAGTGGTGTGGAACCACTGGCATCTTATCAAAACATTTTAGTCTACAGGTTTCACCTTTGTTTCGGGATTATTGTGAAAAGTTCGTGTTTGTTCTGTTTGTGGAGACAAATGAAGGTTTTTACAGCAGAGAACAGAGGAAGACAAAGCATGCAGACGCCTCTATGATGGAGCAGCAGTTCAAAAGATAACCTACCCAGGGGGCTAGAACCGTGGGGCCATCAGTTAGGAGCACACACTGCTCTTCCAGAGGACCGGGGTTCAATTCCCAGCTCCAGTCTGTAACCTCATTCTCAGGGGGATCCAGCACTCTCTTCTGGCCCCAGAGGGTACTGCACACACATGGTGCATAGACATACATGCATATAAAACACCCACATGCATAAATAAAATAACAACAAAAACTACCCAGGATGGAGATTAAGTGAGGAAAGTGGTCTTATCTAATTGCAGAAGAAAGCCAAGCCATGCTTTATAAATTTTAATCTCAAAGTACAAACAAGTCAAAAAAAACCAGATAAACAAAACACCACAAAAAGCAATAAAACCAAATAAACAACAACCTAGACATTGTTTGTGTAACAAAGAGACAGAGGAGTATATTATCGTGTGGTATTTCATGGGCAGCATAATATGGAAGAACATGCAGGAAGAGAATATAAGAGTCTTTGTGTCATAATTAGTGCTGGTAGATTCTACCCAGTGGGGACTTCAGAACTTGAGAGAAACAGAAAATTGGGTGTGTGTGTATATCTACAAATGTGATTAAAAAGATGGGACATTAGTCTACGGAGGAAAGGATTAAGAAAATAGGCATGAAATTAAAGGAAAGTGAAAGATCAGCCCCTTAAATAATTTTGAAGACTTCAGTTTATTCAGATTATTTTAGAAGGAATTTCCTTTTACTAGAAGATCACTAATATTTCATAACATCTCCTTAACCCAACCAAGGCGCCAACCCAGAAGACGAATTCAAGCATGCTCAAGTAGTTGTCACCTAAGTTGTTAGCAGCTTGTGTAGACTACAGAAAAGTGTAACAGCCTTAGTTAGGTTTCTATTGCTGTGATAAAACACCATGACCAAGGCAACTTGGGGAGGAACGGGTTTATTTGGTTTACATGATGAAGTCAGTCAGGGCAGGAACACAAGGCAGGAACTGGAAGCAGAAGCCATGGAGGAATGCTGCCTACCGGCTTGCTCCCTGTGGCTTGGATCATCTGCCCAGGGTTAGTCCCACCCCTGGTGGCCTGGGCACTACCACATCAATCATGAATCTAGAAAATGCCCTATGGACCTCCTTACAGGCAATCTGATGGAGGTATTTCTTCAACTGGTGTTCTTCTTCCAGAGAACTCGAGCATGTGTCAAACAGACACAGCACAGAAATGTTCTAGCTGGTGAGAATTGAAACACGCGGACACCAAATTATGTCAGTGATGGTTAGCTCAGCTTTTCTAGAGTGACTATGTATTCAATTCAAACACTTTCTCAGCTTAGTTTCTTTGTATTTGTCCATCTATTATAGATAAACTACTTCACAAATTTGTTTAAAAACTTATCCTGACTGGGCGAGGTGGTGCACTCCTACCATCCCAGCATTTAGAACATGTAAGGAGGATAAAGAAAAAAAATTCAAGGTCAGTCTCAGCTACATAGAGAGTTACAGACCCTGTCCCAAACCAAAACCAAACAAAAACTCAGTCTATTTAAAATGTTAGAAGGTATTCTGCTCTAAGATTTATCCCAATGAAGCCAAGGTCCAGTAGAATTTATTTTCTGTGAATTCATATGATATCTTTAAAAGCCATGGGAGATGATACATAGGGTGTGAATCTTAGTTCTTGGTCCTTGGCCTGGATCAAGATGGTTAAAATTCTCTAAACCTTAGCATTATAATCTGGGTAGCAAGGATGGCAATTTAGATCTGTAAGGTTTAGTCTCAGTACATAACAAACTCTTTGTAGAATGCTTGTAAAAGTTAGGAAATTTGCATAAAGCATTCTAACAGCTGATAGACACAGCAAACATACGGATTGTGTATTATTATAATGTGAGAACAAATGTAATACAGTGCTCAGCTCATAGTGGCACTCAAAATATAGTTCAACCTGGTTCTCTAAAACAGACAAAATATTGGACTTTCAAACCTAGAGATGGACATATTAAGAGGTAATATAGAATGTATTGGGTATGTATAAAATCTCAATGACAATTCTTAGAAAACTTTCATAACAATCACCAAATCTAGAAACTGCAGAAGACGACTCAGCAGTTCCCAGTGTCCAGTGGTCTTCAGAAGACCTAAGTTCAATTCCCAATTTATGGCTCACAATTGTCAAGTACTCAAGCTCTACTCTCTATGGCCTCCATGATGAATCTACATGCATGAACACATGTGCATGACACATACAAATAAGTAATAAATAAAACAAATCATTTAAAAATAATAAATCATTTTAACCACAAAATCTAATTGTCTACTGCAACATGAAAAAAGAGGATAAGAAGAACAAGAGGTAAACTTGATACCCAGTCTATGTGCTGACTGAGAACTTGTTAACCCAAGATTTTAAAGCTATAGAGAGGTTTAGGGGGCTCAAGAAGTCATTTGCAAACAGCTGAACAGCCAGGGATGTGTACAGCATAACCCTCACCTCCTGGGAGCTGCAATTGTGGGGACACTGTTCCTTTCTGTTCTGACACTGGTACACGTGGGAGCACTTACCTTACTTCCTGCAGTATGGCCATTGCTGGCCACCTTGTCGTTCTACCCAAGAATGGAAGACTGAAGCATCCAGGGTGTGTAGCACAGCACAAGAACTCCTGCATGGTGACTAGCAAGCAGACGCTTCCCAAATGCAAAGGGACAACTAACATGTGGGTAGCCCTCCATTTTGTCCAGCTTCATAGAAACTGAACTTTTGAATCTAAATGTATTAAGTACATAAGTATGGAAACATTGGGCAAATGAAAATACATCACTCTGCAACCGCCCCCCCCCCCAAAAAAAAACGAATTTGAGCTGAAAGACAATGAAATGTGACAAACAGGAAATAAAAGAGACGACTCGAATGAATCTCCTAGCATTCATAAGTAATTTGATCAGACACGTAAGTCATACATCCACATTATGCAGCAGACCAGCAAACACTTATCGAGAAACACACAAAAGCCTGAAAACGAAGAATACTAGGAAGGCTCCCTGACTGAAAAAACAAACAACGTTGACAACGTTTAAGGAATGGCAAGGAGATACCATCAGTCAGCCACGCAAACAAGAGAGATTGTCCCTCTCATTCCATGCCTAGACTTAAAGATCATTAGTACCTTAAGGTGTTTGCAAATGTGAACTGCCATTGCTTTAGAATGCCAGGGCTTTAAAGCTAGGGTAGAAACTAACGGGTGCCGGTACAATTCCAGTCAGTAATCTAGTTTTCTTTTTCTTTTGACCACACCTTATGATAACCTTCAACAATGTGGAAAGCCATGCCCGTGGTGTGTTTTAGGCCTCTTATCCACACAATCATAATCAAAACAACTCTGCCGGAGTGTCAGGGCAAACAGTAGATAGCCGAGAGCCCCGCCATCCATCACAGACATTCTGATCAGCTCCCAGGTCTTGTCTAGGTCATGTTATGACTCCTTTATTAGTGTTTAAGGTCACCAAGAGACAGGCAAGTGCATCCTATAACAGGAAGTGTAGTGAGTCTCTGGAGTGAGATGTTTGGCTTTGGGAGGCACCGCGGCTGTGACTCGGAAATCCAGGGAAATGAGTTCAGCTCAGTCAGACTCCGGGCGCCTACAGCAGATAGAATGAGGCAGAATAATAGAGGCTTTCCTGCCATTCTCCGCATTCAGCTGAATTCCGGTCAGCCCTTCCAGTTGAATTTTAGAAGGCTCTTTTCTATTCAGTCCCCGGTGCTGCAAGTTGTAATTCACGGGAAGGGGCTCCAGAGAAAGGCTGGCCCCAACTTCAAGCCAGGCAGTGCCAACAGAGCCCTTCTGCAGGAAGGCAGATTAAGGGGCATGTGTAACGCCGGGTGAGCAGAGCAAAATTTAGTGCCTACTTTGGGCTCCCATAGGGTTACTGCCTGGCTGCTTTAGACCTGGCAACCACACACAAACACAGATACTTACATTGCCACCCACCCCCTTGCACAGTGACTAACCGTGTGTGCTCAGTGTGGTAGAGAAGGAAAGGAAGGCAGCAGGGGCCTCCCTTCCCTCCCCCTGGGGAACCCAGGCCTGGCGAGATAAGCTTTTGGTCTGTCTGTTGTGAGCTAGGCTCATTCTTTACCCAATATGATTCCTACTAGAGACCTTGAAAAATTCAGATGACCTCACTGGAAAAAGATTCCTGGAGACTTTCATTACTGATACAAGGGTGAAACATAGTTGTTAAGGGAAATGGAGTTGCTAGGAAAAGACAGCTCTAGAAAGGGCTAATTCCTGAGGCCTTACACTAATAGAAACACAATTTGCTAATATGCAAGCAGAATTGTGAGAATGGATAATTATTCTCTTCTCCTGTCTGAGAATTTAATCTTCCCATTAAGGCATAGAAGCATGGCTGACAAGATGGTTCATCTGGTAAAGGCATGCGCTGCCAAGCCTGAGGACCTGAGTTCAGTAGCCGGAACCCAGATGGTGGAAGGAGAGAACCACATTCTTGCAAGATGTCTTCTTACCCGCGCATGCGTGTTATGGCACACCCTGCCCCAATACATAAATACATACATATATACACACATACATATATACACATACATATATACATACATACACACATACATATATACGTATATACACAAATACATACATACATACATATATACACACATATATATATACATACATACACACATACATATATACATACATACACACACACATACATACATACATACAAACTTTGATTAATTTAAGAACCCCCCCATGCAATGAAGGTTAACATGTAATGTTGCACCATGACTTTGAGGCACCAGCATTTATGTAAATGCTCATGTATTTGGCCATTGACATTGGAAAGGAAGTTTAGATTATCGCTGATCTTGTAAATGGTGAGCGTTAACCCCTTGCCTCTCCCTGCTTTGCTACAGATACACAAACAAAGGCGAGCAGAAGGGTCCCGGTGTCTCCGTCAGTGATTCTTAGGTAGGAAATGCAGAGCAGCATTTGCAAGACCAAACTTTTGCTCCAAAAGTCTCTGGGCAGACCAAGCAGTGTCTGCCATGATGTAGGGGGTCAGGAGAATTCATCGATTGACTAACGAGTGGGGAAGTCATCTAAGACCATGGTCCCCTGTCAGCAAACATTTAAAAGAAGAGTGAATCTAGGCAGAAACAAGGATAATCTAATATCCACACGTGTGTGGGTACTTAACATTTTTAAGATCGCAGGATCTTAAAATATACTCCTGGCGCTAAAAGTTTGCAACTCTTTTGGAATGGCAGATTGAATTTTTTCTTGCCGTGAGAGAGAGTCGGGCATTTGGTAGAATTTGGCATGGTCTCGCCAGCTGGGCCTGTGGTCTGCCTGAGATGGCAGGACGTGGCTGAGTTAAGGACTCCACTGAAGCCACTGTAGACAACCAGCATGAGGAGAAAGCTTTGTCTGTGGGCCCGTTTATTCCGTGTGTGCCACGGGGTGGGGAAGGTTACAGGGCCGCATATGCGGAGGGGTGGATGAAAGAAGTTTCAGATCATAGCATCTAGTGCCTAGGGACATCTATTGTGGGCATAGACCCCATGCAGGGGGTAGCCTCTCCTCAGGAGCAGCTGGGTCTTTGGGGGCACACACAGACCCTGAAATTAACCATATAGGGCCTTGTACTTACCACACTTCAGAGTCATAACTGCACTGGGATGAGAGTATTGATATTTAGTCAGGTACATGTTTCTGGTCATTCATAACTATGTCAGATAAATACAATGTGTCATCTTGATTGTGGCTGGAGCTGCAGAGAATGAGTGGCAGGCAAGGGAAGCCTTATGAAGCCTTAAAAACCCAACAGGCATTTTGGACATCAAACATCAATTACAAAGTACCACTTTGATGAGTTAAGAGTCAGAGAATCAGAACCAGATGGATTCAATTTTCCTTGAAATACACACAGGATTAAAAATTAAGAGAAGAGTGCAATACATTATATTGTATCCAATGCTAGCCAAAGCATTTGAGCAAAAAAGAAAAAAAAAACACTTTAGATATTTGACAATGAAGTGACTATTTACCCACTTCTACATTCTGGATTCTAGTGGTGACTACATGAAAAGCTGGAGAGAGAGCTTTGTGGTTAAGAAAAAGAAAAATATTTCCTGGAAAACCAAGAGTGAACAAATGGAGAAAAAGAATTGTGTCTTATTCACTTGCTTAGGTAAATAAGTTCACATGAAATTCCATTGTGAGGCTTTATCAAGTTACAAGTGGGAGTAAATATGTTTGCAAAATGACTGGCCAGACACTTAATTTAAAATGCATAATCATGTTTGACAGATGTTAATAGGTGCTTAAGATATGCTACTCACTTTGACACGTGCAAAGACATCTTGAGTCATGACCCTCATGTGTGGATCAGCCATCCAGAGCTCTTTTTTTTTCCTTCTGGTGATTACTCAGTGACACTTGGTTCCCAGGCTGCCTATCCTCTGAGTGACAGCAGGCAGGACTAAGCTGCAGCCACCATCCCAAGATCTCAGTGGCTTCTGGCTTTCATGCACCAGCTGTTGAATAAACACACACGGTTCAATTTTGTGCCTGGCAGTTGCTCTTCCTGGTGTCCTGTAGCAGGGCTGCCCCTGAACATTTACTCACAGTCCTGCAGGGCGCCTTTTGGAATTTCTGAAGCCATGGATCCCAGGTGATCTGTAAAGAGATAGTGATGACTTTAGGGAACCTGTCACCTTCTCTTGTATCCTCTTTATGTTCCCACAGTGCCACCCTCAATACTTTCCTCAGGGGTTATGTGTACAAGTGGAAGCTGCAAGGCATGCAGATTTGACCTAAGTCACAGTTCATCATTTGAATGTCACTATGGTTCAGAAAAAATGTTCCCTCATGGCCCATGAGTCAAAAGATTGGAAACCAGCCAAGACACTATTGGAAAATGTTGAGGCCTTTAAAGGCAGCGTCTCATAGGAGGAAGTTAGGTCCCCGAGGATGTGTCTTTAAGGGAATATTAGGGCCACACCTCTTGATGTCAATTGTTCACTTCCTGGCTGTCATGAAGTGAGCAGCTATCTTACCATGTGCTCCTTTGATAATGTATGAAGTCACCAAAGGGCCCAAAACAATAGGCCAATTGACCATGGATTAAAACCTCCAAAAATGTGAGTGGAAATGACCTTTCTTTATTGGAGTTGATTCATGTAAGGTGTTTGTTACAGTGACGGAAAAGTGATTGACACACATCTGACCTCATTTTTTTCAAACTCCTATTTTATTCTTTTTATTATACAGGGTTACATAAGGCCATGTTCATGCAAACATGACCTTATCTTGGAACCCCAGTTTCAACAACTAGGTGACGGGAACAGAGCAATATGTCTTGAGCTGTTAATGGCAAGAGGACACAGAAAAGTGCCTGGTATGTGACCTTCTTCAGAATGAACAGTATCCATTTTGGTAAGTAGGATAGTCTTTTTTCTCTTTGCTCATCAAATGTGGCTGCTCCAAATACATGTGACAACCTTGCTCGCATCCTATTCTTTAGGTATGGAGGCAAACATAGTTGACGCTAGTCTAGAGTTTGCTGACTTCAACCCCTGAATTCACAAAGTTCTGTCATCTCATTATAACTTCTGTTGTTTGTGAGAACATTTACTGTCTCTGAGCACTGGTAATGTCTGGAGTGTCTGGTCAGATGAAGTTTGTTGGATCATTAAAAGAGAAAGTAATAATGCTAGATTATTCATTTTTCAAATTTGTTTCAGTGATTCTTGTTTTAACCTTATACCTAAAATATAAATTTATAAAGGGATTAGGACACTAAAAGTGTAGGTAACGAGAGAAAAATACATTACAGTATCCCAAAGTTAATCCTCTGTATGTCAGCGGATACAATCAATCAAGTGACAAAAATACTTTAACCCCAGAATGGGTGGAAGTATGTTCAAATCTCATATATATGCATTCACTTGTGTTAGGGATTATTATTCTGCATATACAAAGAGTACCCACCCCAATAATGACAAAACAAATAGCTCAATTAAAGTCTACAAAGTGACTAGACATTCCTCAAACAGGATGTACAAACTGCCCCGCCTGCAGGGCTACAATGGGTTCTCGACCACCCTAAGGAGGGAATGTAGGGACAGGAGATACAAAGGAAAATACACCAAGTCTAGATTCTGATCAAGGTGCAACTTTATTTTCTCCAGAAGGGTTTATATAGTTCCTGCAGGGTGGGGGGAGCAAGAAGCTGTCATCTGCATAAGGTGGGGCAAGCTAACAGGATGTTTGTATAGGATGTTTACAGGGTGAAAGGGTCAAGGGCTCTGACTCAATGTTCTGTTGCTAGGCAACCCGACTGTAAGATGATCTAGTTCCCTGCCTTATTGGGGGTCTGTATTTTTCCACTAACTAGAGATTCTGTCCTTATCCCTGACAACAAACGACAACTGAAAGAATGTTCAGCATTACTAACCCTTCAGGAAATACAAATTAGAACAGTGAGATCACTTTGCATGGATGTTCTCAAAAATCTCCAGACTTTCCTTGTTATTATTCTCTAAGAAATTCAGTTAGCATCTATTCATAAACTATTTACATCATCAATAAGCTAGAGATGAGCTGAGGTATGCAAATGGATATGTGTGAGTTACCTGAAGATGTTTTGCAATCTCATCTAAGGTACTTGAAGACCCATGAATTTCTGTATCCTTCAAAGGTGCTGAAGCCAATGCCACGTGGATACCAAAGTAACTGTGGCTTCTCTTATATGTTGGCATGTTCGAGATTTTTCTCCCTGTCTTTGATTCCTTTGCTTTGTTAACCTAAGGTACAGTATCATATATGTGTTATCAAGTTCCTTAAGCTATAGGTTGCATATGTTTATGATGCTGGTGCACATGTATTTGCTGCATTAGAGACCTCAAAAAATAAAGCATCCCCTGTGTGCAATAAGTCTTGAACAGTGGTCATAGAACAATTCCTGACACTTGTCCAAGTTTTGCTCTGTACTAGCAACTATTCCAGTACAGTATGTACGCTGATTCTTTTAACTTTCAAGTCACATAAGAGAAAGAAACAATTATTACTTGTATTCTGCAGCTAAGCAAGCAAGTACAATTATTACTTGTATTCTACAGCTAAGTTTCAAGCAAGATACTTCCCTGGGTGACTGAATTACTATGAGAGGCAGAAAGTGAACCTGGGCAATCTGGCTTCAGAGCTCACGTCCACAGGCCAGACTGGTCAAGCACTTTAGAAGGTAGCAGCAATAAATGGAAGTGGTGTGCAAAGCATGAGTATGTGTGTGTGTGTGTGTGTGTGTGTGTGTGTGTGTGTGTGTGTGTGTGTGTGTGTGTGTTTATGTATGATGCATTTACCAATAACTATATGCTGAGAAAAGGACAAAAGTTTGGGTACTTAACAGTGTCATCAGGGTGTTCCAATACTGTCTGTTGCTCTTTAAATTCAATAGTAATATTATTTTCTAAAAACCACCATCACTTATTAGACCCTTCGTTGTGTCTCAGGTACTGTGTTAGGGATGTTACATGGCATGAATTTATTATGCTATGTAGTGCAATAACACTGTAAGACAGACTTAATTACTCCGACTTGTATTGAGGAAACTTCAAGCCTGCGAAGTTTAAAGGGTTAGTGACTTTTGGAGTCTGAGATCCACTGGGCTGTGAATTCTTAATCTATGTGTTTCTGCTGGTTCTCACTGTCTTATTCAACAATTGTTGGCAGGAGTTTAAATGAGTTCAGAAAGAAGATCCATAATCATTGAGCAAATTTTCACAATGAAAAATTTGATTAGCCTAAATTAAAAAAAAAACATTAGTGAAAATAAAATGTTCCTATACACTTGCACTCAGAACAGAAGAACCACAGAATTGGAGAATTCCCTAAAAGCTATTGAATTTGAACTCCATTGCAAGAAACTCCAGTGAATGTTGGTTAAGAGTCTGAAAAGCCCAGCACCAGGGAGCTCTCCATCTTGTGTACAGCCAAAAATGCTGTCAGACCCAGGGGCCATGGGGCTGCCCTCCTCTTTTCTTGTATAAATCCACTCTCTCCTGGCCTCCTTTTCCTTTTCCTAGCTGTGCTGGAACCAAATGGTGAGGTGACCTACTCTTTGCACAATAATCCAAGTTTATCACGTATGCTTTGGTCGTCTCCCATGGGGCAAAAGCAGTCGTTTCCAGCATAGTTAGAGGTAGTGCCACATAGAGAAGAGACCTCAGTCTTCACTGGTAGAAAATCTGCAGGACTCTGGCTCTAGCAAGTATTGCTTTCATATTCCTAAAAGTGTTACTTCAATGTCTTCGTAAAGATCTTACAGCCTGTTTTGGAGGTGATTGGAATGAGATGATGTCAAATGATATTGTACAGTAGGCTCACAATAAACACTGGTTCTTATTGTAAGAGAAACTGGCCTCTGGTACAAATGGACAACAACAAAACTCATGAATTCTGCTCGCCTCGGTTATTTTCAAAACAGTAGTCAGGAGTTCCATAACGCAGCATGCATGGACCAGCTTACTGTTGTTTGTGTCAGAGTTTTGGGGCTTTGTGAGACAGGGGTTCTCTGTGTAGCCTTAGCTGTGCTGGAACTCACTTTGTAGACCAGGCTGGCTTCGAACTGACAGAGGTCCACCTGTCTCTGCCTCTCGAGGACTGGGATTAAAGATGTGGAGCACCACGCCTGGCTGGCTGCGTTTCTCTTCTTTATCCCTTTCTCTAGATATTGGGAGGATTGCCATGATCATGGGGGTATCACACAGAAGGTGGTAACACTACCGTCAGCCTGAGTTCTTAAACAGCTCCACACATCAGAGCTGCCCACTTGCCTAAAATACTGGCCTTGGGGCTGCTGCAGAAAGAGAGAACTAAGCATTCTTCTCTGTCCTGTATGCTTGATGGACAAGCACGTGCTGTCTCTAATGGAACTCTGCGACACAGTACAAATGCTGAAAGAAAGATAGTCGGTGGTTTCTTTTTATTCAACAAGAATGAGTTATTTTGCTCTTCCAAAGAGAAGCACAAAGGAAAAAGTTGACCCAGTGAGTCTTTCGCTCTGGGGATAGTAACACTCAGGGAGAACCGTGGGGTTTTCACCAAGTTGACTCTCTGAACAATACCAGTCTAGACTTTGTTTCCAGACCTGGCTACGATGAGGGCAGTATAGTGAAGAGGTAGAACAACTAGTTAATAGCGTCTTTGCCTCAGTCTGCTTGTGGTCCACAAAAGCCACCCAGCCCACAGTTTCTTGTTTGAGCTCCCAGATGCTCATGTATATTAAAGCACACACAGTCGATGCGAACCACAGGCCTATACAATGAACTGTTTTGTCCAACCATGAACCCTTTCGTTCCTGATACTTCCAGGATGGAGGAGTATGGACTGCTTTGGCCTGGAGAGTATCTAATGGGGAGAGAAGTATCGGTTTCTTTGCTCTGTGCTCTGGATCTGCCTGCTTCCGTAGGAGCTATGGCCAAGAACCACAGCACTTTGCCACCATCCCTGACATGCTCTGTATATAGAAAGTCCTGTAAGTTTGGCAGCGGGCACAGGGGATTGAGAAATCACCACCAAAAGCAGATGGTTGATTTCCGCAAGTAACAACCAACAGCATTAATATGCCTTCTTCGCATACTGATAGACTGGTGTATATCATCCCCACAGATCCTAGGCTGTTTTCAATCTTTCTAACTGACTCAGCTGTCCTAACCATGCACATAGTGTAAACCACAGTGGCTACAATGTATTAGGGCCACATATAATATTTCCCAATGAGTTTCAATCATTATGGAATGATAGAAATCTAAGAGCTTGAGGCAATGTCAGACCAACATTGAGTTTCGACTTCTCTTCTGCTTCTTGTGGTCCCCATCTTAGGTGAGAGCAAACCCATCTTTTATCATTGCTTAGGCCAAAGACTGTCAATGTCATCCGTTTCTTGCCCCTCTTCTAACACCTCGCCCAGCAGGAAATACTCCAAGCTCCACCTCCCACATTTATCCAGTATCCGATTTCTTTGTACCACCTCCCCAGTCAACACGGTGATGGGGCTGCCAAGAGTTCTTGCCTGGATTAGGTGTCCTCCAAGCCTTCCTCTCTGTCTTTGCTCCATCCCAGCCCTGCTCCACAGAGTGTTTTTCAGTGGGGTAGCCTTTTGATGCGGAAGTCAGGCTATTCAACGCCTCTGTTCAAAAACATTCGAAAGTTTCTGTTATGGATTACATGTGAAATGTCCCTTGTAGACTCATATGTTTGACCACCGAGTCCCCAGCTGGTGGCACTGTTTAGGGACCCTAGGAAATGGGCTGGTCACTAGAATGGTTGGGCCTTTGAAGATTAAATTCGACTGCACTGCATTCTAGAATTCTCTGCTCCTTCATCTGTCAAGATGTGAGAAGCTGCCGCCTCCTCACACTTAGGTTCCTCAGACTGAATCTTGTAAGTCAATCTACTAAATCCCTTTGAGTCTATTGGCCCCGTTTACTCAAAAGAAGCCTGGATAGGATGCTTGCTTACTGTGCTTATTATGTTCCTGTCTGTCTCTAGAATTAAGTTCCATGAAGATCAGAATCACAGATAGACTTCAAGTATTCAGAATACTATGCAGCATGTACTAGGCACCTTACGCTCACTGGGGGAGTGAGTGAACTAATCCATGTGACAGAGACAAATGTTTAATGAATATGCAAAGAACCGGGTTCCCAATTCAGAAAACACTCTTTCCTAACAGGAAGAATGTGGCACAAGAAAGTACTGAAACTTTCTAGAAAGTAGAGAAAGGAATCACCGAAGAGAACCCTACTGAGTTCTCCTTATGTTACTTTTTGGTTAATAGACTTGGGTGTCAGAAACAGTTTGTTTGGGGGAGTTAGGACTCGTCCTTCACAAGAGTCCGAGTAACTGAGAAAAGCTGTGTGGATCCGGTTCCCTGCCTCCTGTGCAGGCATTTCCTGGTGTGGTGTCAGGTGTCGGCTCCTTAGGTGGGTTTGTCACTGAGGGATTAAAGTCTCTGGAATTAAGAGGCAGGCGGGCTGTGGTGCCTAAACACAGCAGTATCTAGGATCTCTATTCAGCTTCCTATAGTCAGCTCTACATTCGTTTCCTACCTGAAATGGTGAGTGTGAGTAGTGGAACCCGAGCAGTGCTCTGGACGTGCTCTCTTTCCGTGTCTCTGACCCCAGGGAAGCCATGCTTCTGGTTGAATTAAAGCAAGGTGAGAAGGGAAGGCAGCTGGCAAAGAGAAGGGAAGAGTGTGTGCCCAGGAGACAGATAACAGTGGTGGGAAAGGATAAATGGGAAGAACAGATGCGTGAAAACTCAGAGTGGGGAAGACAGGCTGAAAACGGAGGGCAAACACGATATTGTTAATATGTTAATTTATTGTTAATATTTGCCGTATGCCCCTCACTGGCTGGCATTTCAAAATCTTTATATTTCCTCAGGAGAACATACTATTAATTTTCCCTCTGTAAATATGAAAAAAAAAAGCTGTATCATTCAAAATGGAAATTACTGGCAATAAGAGAAAAAAAGTATTTTGTCCAATATTTGCAAACATGAGTTATGGAGGAGATGGGAATGGGGGGTGGGCTGGGAGGAAGGCGGGGTGGGGTGGGGAGAGGGGAGAACAAGGGAATCCGTGGCTGATATGTAAAATTAAATTATATTATAAAATATAAATAAATAAATAAATAAATAAATAAATAAATAAATAAATAACAATATGTTGAAAGTTGGCTGGCAAATGACCCTTAGACCCCACTTTCCAAGATGGTTGGCCTTGGCCCTCTAGCCTACAGGAGATGTATTTACACATGCCTCCAATCAAGGAACTCCACGCCACCTTCCTGAAGCTGGTCTCAGTGACAGGAAAATTCACAAGCAGCAAGTTACCTGTACACAGACACCCCACGAATACACCTACTACAGAGGAGCACGAAGGATCCAGAAACAATACACTGGTAGAGTAAGAGAACTTGATTTCTTTTTCTAAGTTAGTCACATTCTATATGACAGACTTTTCGGGTCTGGGGGTGTCCTATATTCCTCCTTCAGCCTAGGAAGGTCTGTGCTGTCTAAACAGCCTCCTGTAGGGTAATGGCCATAGCAGCGCATATAAAAGGCGCAGTGGAAAGGTGCAAAAGTCATTAACAGGCGAGAAATAGGAAGCAATCAGCAACACTTTAAGCAAATTATTACCATGAAATTACACTCCCAGCTTGAGATAAGTGTCCTGGCTCTGTTAAAGCCATATACACCTCACTGGTTTAGCTGTGGCTCCGGGAACTTTTCCTCTTCGGTTTATTGATGAAGTGTGAAGTCGTGATGGACAGGCTGCAAGGCTAGGGAAGGAGAACTGCCGACTTCTTCCAGGGCTTCCTTCAAAGTCTTGCTTCCTGCACAGAGGACCTGTGAAGAGAGGCTGTAGGAACACTCCATTGGACAGCCGGCCGCCTTGGGGGAGGGAATGGAAACCTGACTGGGAAGACTGTATTTTACGTCAAAGCTGTTTTGCGGAGAAAAGCCCACACTCTTTTCTAGGGTGTTGAAGGAAATGGAGTATGGGGAGTAGGCAGCTGGGGGATCACATGGGATGTTCACAGCTCCCTCCTGCAGCTGGCTAAGCCATGTGCATGATGGCAAAGGTTACAGTCCCCCTCCTAACGGTCCTGGGCTTTCCCTACCTACTCCTCTGAGCTGAAGGTTCCTCCCAGCATCCTCTCTGGTCCCGTCTTTGGAATGGGACTCTTTAGTGTGTTCAGTTTCTATGTCTCAGGTAGTTCCTGTCTGCTTTCTCACCAACCACCTTATAAAGCTCCAGATGCTGAACTGTGGCTGACGAGGATGACAAGCCCTCCTACCCCTCCACAGCAGCCTGGGCCACTGAACTTGGGAAACAGAACAGCCAACCTGCAGGGAGCTTCCTCTCTGAGATCAGAGCGCAGCCTCGGAGCCCTCCGTCTCCCTGCCGGTGCTTGAAGCCAGCATGCTTCACTGGTGTTCTTGCTCTTGAAGGAACCAGGCTGGCATCCTGTGGCACTAAATAAGTTGGGGGACAGTGGGTGTTTCTGGCAGACATAACAGCCTCTCCCCACAGCGCCCCTGGACCGTGCCCAACACTCTCATCATATTAGTTCCCTGAAATCCTCATCATTCTAGCTGGGGGCAGCCAGATCAGAGGCAGGCACTATTTTCTGTTTCCTTCCTTGTACTAGCCACAAAGAAACCTATGAGGAAATCATGCAAAAAGGAGTGAGTTTAACTTTCTTTCACCCTGATAATGAATTGAATTTTGGATGCTCACTTCCGCTGAGAGGCAAGGTGGCTTTGGAGTATACACAAGGACACTGGAGGAAATACATGAACGAAAGAAGGAAAGAAGGTATAAGAAAAGTGTGGAAAACACAGTTAACGGATGCTGGCCTTGCCACAATAAACACTCTTCCTATCAACTATATATGCTCTAAAACCTTAACATTCTAGAACTTCAGCTTTGGAGGCAGTATTTCTTTTCTTTTATGTTGTTGTAACCAAGCAGCAACTTAAGAGAAGAAGGTCAGAGGTTTTTTTTTTTTTTTTTTTTTTTGGGGGGGGGGTCAGAGTTTGAACCGGTGCATTGGTTATGACCGGGAGGTATGATGTGGGAAAAATGGGGCAGCAGGACACATCACATCCATGCTAAGGATGCAGAGAAAGAGATATATTGGTACTCCGTTTGCTCTCTCCTTTTAAATTAGTTTAGCACCCCAGCCTGTGGAATGAAACAACCTACATTTGCAGTGGTCCCCCTCAATGAGCTGAACTGAGACATTTCCTCACAGGCATGCCCAGAGATCCAGTTCCTAGGTGATTCCAGATCCTGCCAAGTTACAGCCGGTATTAACCAACACAGAAGGGAAAATAGAACTTGTGTCTACTCTAGAAAAGCAGGCAATAATGCTCTCTATATACACCCGAGGTTGTATCATCCAGACTGAAACTTCCAGAATGTTACAAAATGGTCAATGTCCGTTAAAATGGCTCCCGTCTTCTTCGTTACCCTTGCCTCAGAATTAAGTGCTTCTGAGCGCCAGCTGGGTACTTCTGCGCTTTGCCTTCTGAAGTCACGTCAGGAATTGTGTGTGCCGTCTGGGAGGTGAATGAGACACCGGCAAACTGCTCCTACATGGTACAGTTCCCCAAATCCCTTTCCCAAATGGAGTTCCCCTCCTTTCAAGTCTTCATAACGCGACTTCACTTTATCTTCCATCGGGGGGCTTGATTCATACTAAAATTTAGTTCTTAGCATAGGGAAACAGTTATAGACAAATAGTTCGATTATTGAAAGCGATGTGCAGAAACGAAAGTGCCGGTGTTAACGAACAACCTTTATATAGCCACTAAGATACAGGATGGTAACAACGCTAACCATCCAAAAGGGGCTGGATAGTGCTAAGCAACTCCTAATTCATGGCAAGGGTTGTTCTAGATGTGTTTCTCTCCTGGGTTTCTGTGCAGATTACACCTTGGGTTCCAGGAAACCTCAACTGAATTTGTGCCGAAGGAGCCCTGCATCTTCTTAGTCCCATGGGCCTGTTTCCTGTTAGGTAACCAGACTCAATGACATCTACAGATCATCCATCTCACTGTTATCGACAAACAAGGCTGACAAGTTGGTAAACACACCCTGAAACTTCCCTCGAGTTTGGGGTCACAAAGCCACACTTCACTCAGCACATTTCGTGTGCTGACCAGGGTCAGCACCACGGAGATACAGCCTGAACTTTGAGAAAATAGCTCGGGCCATTTTCAGACTTACTGGAATCAGCACTCAGATGTAGTCAGATTAGCTCAGCATGTAGTGGGATAATGGCCTTCCTGTTCTGGTCACTGCCACCCACCACTCATTTTTAAATATTCTCTGTGCTTTGCTTCCTCATCAGAAACCGCTGACCCCTCTTGCAGGGTCAAACTATACGTGAGCCAATCTTGTTGAAGAAAGAACTCGGACTAAGGCTTTTACATCTAAAAATGATCTTGTCTAGCAATCTAAACATCTAGATGGCATTATGCCTACGTGTATCTGCCCTGGCTCTGGCTCCTTCCCAGCCCTTTATAGCCTAAGATTGTTTGTATTGGAGTCCTTCCTTAAGCCTCACTTGCCTAGGCAAGGTCTTAGTCAGTTGTGACACTCTTGCAAGCTCCAACTATAATTTAAGGTCCATTTTTCTCCGAAATTGGTATCCTAACAGAGGACTTCCCTCTTCTCTATCCTCAGGGTCAAATGTCTTTAAGTGGTCACGCCTTCTGAAGTAACGCCTCTGGGCTCTGGGATGTCCAGCCATCCTGGAATGGTATCTTTCTGGCTTTAACTGTCTTAGTCATTTTCTCTTGCTATAGGATCCCAGAGACTGGGTGATTTATAAAGAACGGAGGTGGATTGTTAAATTTGGGAGGGTGAGGACGGCGGCATGGTGCTGCCATTGCCTCAGCATCCACTGCATCTTTCTGTTCTGTCCGGACACGGAGGACAGGAGGCGAGAGGAGCTGGAACATGCCAGCTAGCCAGGCTTCATTCCGCTTTGCTCTCCTGGCAGTTTTATTACCCTTGTATTCTGCGGTGAGGGTGAGGACTTGCACCTGTGAGAATTAACTCGGTCCCTTAAGACCAACATTCATCTTTTTATGGGAGCAGAGCCGTAGTGACCAAAACACGTCTCCAAGTTCCCACCTCCTCTCGATACCTTAACACTGGGTATCAAGTTCCAACGTGGGGGGACAACTCACATTCAAACCTTAGTGCTAACATAATTCTAGGTACCTCCTTCTTACCACTCACTCTTACTAATAAGGCCTCGGCCTGTCTCATGTCTGAGCAAGCCTGGATTAAAATTTCAGACAGGAATAATTCTTAGAAGAAAAGCTAAATAAAGCCGGCCAAACACCTACAAAAACAATCTTGGAGTTTTAGAATGTGAAAGAAACTGAGGGATTATCTAGCCGGGTGGTTTTTTATTTTTGCAACTGAGACTTTTGTTTTTTGAAATGGAATCATTCAGATGGACGTGCACATGAAATTAATAAAAACTGATCTGTGAAGGAGAGAGCAAATCTAGGAATTAGGTTGGTAACACAGGGCCAGCCAGGACTCAAGAACCTCTGCACTACAGTTTGAGAACTCTTGGTCTTTTCCAATGGCTTTCTTTTACAAATTCACTGAAAACTATGGATGACAGGAATTTTCGTAGGATTCAAGCAGAATTTTTAGTTAGATTTCCTGAGTTCAGAATGTCAAGTGATCAAACCCACCAGTCTTGTTCTTTCTGGTCCAATCCCCACACGCTTTCATTTTTGAGTGCCTATCTCACACAAGATACTACACTGGTGCTTTGAGGGGGCATAAATAAGCAAAACATGTTCTGTGAGCTTAAGCGGATTGGACTCATCAACGACTAGGGAGCCAGGGTCAAAAATAGTGTCATAAAAATAATAAATAAATAAGGTTTTAAAAATAGTCATATTGGAGTACTCCAGAGAAGCAGAATAAATACTACTTGTGGGGGGCGGGGGAGAGAGGGGGAGAGAGAGAGAGAGAGAGTGAGTTTGTTTTAAGGATTAGGCTCTTGTGATCACAACAATAAGGCATCTGAATTCTGTAGGACAGGCCAGTAAGCTAGGGACACAAACTGTTGCTGTTACACAGGCTGGAGGAAATCTGAAGCAATGTCCCCTATCTCTGAGGAAAGTCAGTCTTACTACTACTACTATTACTACTACTACTACTACTACTACTACTACTACTACTACTATTTGATTGATTGTAACTGATCAAGTGAGGTCCATTCACATTATGTAGGCACTTTGCTTTACTCAAAGCCTACTGATTTAAATGTTAATCTCATCTAAAAGTTATCTTCACACAGATGTCAAGATATTTTGCCAAATATCTGGGTACCATGGCCTTGCCAAGTTGACACATAATAATTAAACACTGTAACCCAGAAAAGTGTGTTTTGGGGGAGATAACAAAAAAATCCTCATACGCAATACAGTCTGTGAGAGTTAGGATGGTTAGGAAAAAAGGTTTTGGGTTGTAATATCACCTCAGTTATATAAGAGTGCATACAGTTTGTGTTAAGGGAGTCACTTAAAATTCTATTTAAGGGCCAGGCAGTGGTGGCGCGTGCCTTTAATCCCAGCACTTGGGAGGCAGAGCCAGGTGGATCTCTGTGAATTTGAGGCCAGCCTGGGCTACAGAGTGAGTTCCAGGAAAGGCACAAAGCTACACAGGGAAACCCTGTCTCGAAAAACAAACAAACAAACAAAAAAACAAAAAAAATCTATTTAAGGAGCAAACAGATAAAATTCTTAACCAAGATAAAGTCCACAGAAATGAACTCTAAAGTCAATTGCATTCAGGCAATAGCTCGAGCTCAGTTAGTTTTCTCTCCCCTCTACCTCTAACTAGTTAAAGTATAGACATTGCTTTCTAATTTTAACCCCATCATTAGTGTTCACAGACACAAATTCTTCCTTCATTTGGGAACTAACTGCCAAACTTGTTTGTGAAAAAGGGATCAAAAGACTTTTATAAGGTGAAAGCCTTAGCTGCTTCCTGTTTGCTGTGTGACGGTGTGTTATAAAACAGCTATGGAGCCTCACCAGTTTTCCAATAATACATAACAACTTGCTTCCAAAGGTAGGTAGCTCCTCATTTTATCACATCTAAAATTTCAGCTACTTTTTCCAGGCTGGGTTAACTATTTGCTCTTGTTCCTTTTAAATTTAACTTTCTTTCTTTCTTTCTTTCTTTCTTTCTTTCTTTCTTTCTTTCTTTCTTTCTTTCTTTCTTTCTTTCTTTCTTTCTTTCTT